ATAGATTCAGGTTCATATAATAGACTAAACCAAATGTTTTAGGGAGCTTGGGGTGCCAGAACTCATTTCTTCTTTGCTTGGCCAACTTTTGTAGGGTTGAAGTACGGTTTGTCAAATGTCTGATGCATTGTACCTACAAGTTGCGGAAGCCTAGAGTGGATTTCTGTTTGCACAGAGAGGGGAGGACTCGCAATACAGTACAATATCGTAGGGGTCCAGTAGTAGAAACTGGTGGCATACACATCTGGAGCCAGGTCTGCTATTTGTGTCATATCTTCACAGAGAAGCCTGAAATGTGGTCTTGCAGGGATCCAGACCGGGGTACTTCAAATTAATTATTGACAAAGGGCAATATGTTTCCTGGCCCGAATGAACTAACATATTTCATAGGTTGAGCAGGTCAACAGAGTTTGTGGCCTCTCTTATGTTGTTGAGCTACATTATTCAATATCCTTGTCAGCTGGTGAGCTCATAACACTGCAGAATTTAAAAACTATGCAAAGCCATTGTATTAGGTCAATAAGCATAATTGTGTTCACTGAGTAAACCACAGCTGGCTGGGTTTGTACAATAAGTAACACTAAGTCAAATCAAGCAAGGGCATTTTGTGCCATTGCTTGACATGTGAACCAAGTCAGTGAGTGTGTAATATAAAATCTTTCATCTTTTTGGTGCCTAGTTTAGAGTGTTTTCACAGATTTTGAAGCAGTGGTCTGAGCTACTTTTACTCTGGTACTGCCTCTCTCATTTCAGTATTTGGAAGATGCTATTGATTGTAAACTGAGCTGACAGTACATTGCAAAAGGAAAAGATATATATTTTTAGAACAGAGTAGATTCTGGGTAAATGGATGCAGCCTCTACATTATCAGGATTAATTCCAAAATATTATTATAGAAAAAGATTGAAAGTTAATGTCATTACTATCTCATCTTCACAGTCTTGGCTATCTGCTTGCAGTGAATGTAATAATAGACTCATTACTTATTGTGTGATTTGTATTGAATTTCTGGAGTCCTCTGTTATTCTTATCTTTTATTGAAATTCAGAGAATCTACATTAGGTTAGACCATGTTATCAGAATATATTGGTGAAATATGGTTTGTGATTAAGTGGGAGACTAGCTTTGGAAACACAGCCTTAATTTAAAATGATGTCTGAACTGAAACAGTTTTAGAGGTTAGCATTGTTATACTTTTGCAGCAAAACCAACCTGGAGTTGAGGACCTTCAAACTAACACATCTTTTATTATATCATACTTATTGGAACCATCTTCCTGGATTCATAACATTTATCAGAACGGGTTTCCTTTCCTTTTCTGGTTAATGATGAACTAGAACTTATGATGGCATCAGAATTACTGCAAGCTATAGTTCTGTTCTCAATCCAACACTAGATATTGAAGGCTCTAATACTGTACTGATTTTTTAACCTTAGTTAAAAGCAGACCTGCAGTTTGCAATGTTTGAGATTATCCTAGCTCAGAAGAGAACATAGTTTTTTTCTCCCAGTAGCTGAACTGTAGCTTATGATTAGATAAAGGATTGATTTTATACAGTTTCTGAGAAAATAATATATATATTCAAAATCAAATTAGATATATATTTTTCCTTGGATTGCTAATTCTATGTAGGTGTTGACTTCTTGATCTGACTGATGCTCAGTCTTGGTAAGCTCATCCTGAAAATACAGTTCTTTGATCCCATTATGGAGGATCAGTTTTAGATATCATATATTTGGATGGTTGATCACATTGGGGAAATACTGTCTTAGATGTTGCTGAGCCATACCTCCCAGCCTTCCTGGAAAGACATGTTGTATAGCATAGATTGCCCTCGACTTACTGCTATTTGTTTAGTGACCATTTGAGGTAATAATAGCACTGAAAAAAATGACTTTTGACTGTTTTTCACACTTAAGACCATTGCAGCATCTCCATGGTCACATGATCAAAATTTGGACACTTGGCAATTTGTAGGTATTTATAACAATTGCAGTGTTCCAGATCATGTGATCACCTTTTTTGACCTTCTGAGAAGCGAAGTTTTAATGGGGATGCCAGGTTCATTTTAACAACCATGTTATTAACAACTACAATGATTATTTAACAAATGCATCAAGAAAGATCGTAAAATGGGGCAAAGCTCCCTTAAGAAATATTTTGCTTAGCAATGGAAATTTTGGGCTCAATTGTGTTCTAAGTCAAGGACTAGCTTTATAAGACTGCTTCATCACTACTATTTGCTTTTTAGAGAGAACAGTTACAGGTGTGTAGAGTATTGTAATGGTAATGGAATGTAGATAAGAATGGAATATAATGTGAAAGATAAGCTGCCCTTCTGCTTGTTCCACTATTGACAATAAATTTATAAATCTGTTCAGGCCAACAGGAGAATTGAAGTGGGTATCTGTTGTTCAGAGTTGTTTGAAAAAAATTCTGCTTCTCACAAGCAAATTTGCATATGTATAAATTTATTTTCAGCCATCTTTGGCTATTATTGGAAACAACGCACTTAGTGTAGGTGTCTTGTAATTTTGTTTGCTAAGGGACATCATGTAAAAGTTTCCAGATCTTGACTGTGAAAATTTGGAGAGCTCTGAGAGAAAGTAGGTATATGAGTGTTGAATTTACAAATATCTAGTCATTGTCCACATTTTTGCAGCCCTGATTTGGTAGCCTGAATAGAAACTATAATGAAGTATGTATTGCACTAAAGATAGTCAAGTGGAGGAACTAAGATTTTAGACAAAGAAATTTATGGACAAGAATACTTTACTACTATAGCTACAGTTATTATTGGAAGAGAATATTTGTGGTTTAGGATATTTGAACTGTGGGGTCCTTGGTTCTCTGAACTTAGTTGTTTTCTTGCAGATGTTTCTTTCATTAGTCAACTAGATAACATCAGTGCTAGAAAGGAGTCGAATTTGCTCTCTAGTGGCTTTTCCTGTCAAAGTGGTTCCTTGAATAAGTGGTTGTTTTCTGTTAGCTTATTGTATGAGTTGGTAGTTCCTCAATCAGGGTATTGTTTACTGCTTGATTGTTGAGCTGGTGTTAATCTGGGTGTTAATCTAGGTGTTGATTGTTGGTGAGGAGGTATTTTAGTCTTTTTGTTTCCTTTTTGGCTTATGATTGTCTCTTTTGAATGATATGTATATGTTGTTTACCTGTGTGTGATTATTGCAGGCTGATTTGTCTGAGGAAGGAACATTTGCAAAAAACAACAAAGCTCAGAGAGCACCAAGGACCTCCACAATTATTATTGCTGCTCCTGTTGCTATTATTATTTGAGCAAATGGTTTTTACTAATATCCTGATTTTGACTTCACTTTGATTTAAATACTTTTTGAAGAATTGGATGTTTATTTCAATGCAGTTGTACTGTACATACTCAGGAATTGTATTTTAAAATATAGTATCCTTTGAAGAAAGCCAGACAGTTTCCCTTAAAAATATGGCTTCCATAATTACAAATACATTTATCAGGTTTCATATAAATGTAAGTTTTTGATTGCAGTCACAGTATTAGGAACCTGGAAGTCAGTACTGTATAAGTTTCTCCAAATGCAGAAAGGGGACCTCAGTTCTGGAGTATAACCATACAATTTTTTTTCCTAAATGTTCTTTTTGAGTCAAATGCAACATTTCTAGCATCAGCTTCTGAAGACACATCAACTTTGTCATTGTTTTTATCATCTGATATTCCATGAATGTTTTCTGTAATCTTAATTTTCTGGCTCCATACTCTATCAAAAGTCTTTTTGGACATTGAAAATGAGAAAAGCAAATTAGAGGGGAGGTTGCAGATCTCCCAGTAATTCTACTTTAAAGTAACAAGTGGAATTTAAACTCTTCCCCCAAGTATTTGTTTCTGAAGTTCTAACTTGAAGCCACTTTGTGATCCTGAACACTCAGTAATGAGGGGTTTGGTTTTTACTGGAGGATAAGAGTCTGCCATAAATACCCCTACATCCATATATTGATACCAAGTACCCCAAATGTGGTTTCTGGGAAAGGAACTGCTAGGTTGGGATTACTTTTGGGGGAGGGGAGCTGCCTTGTATCTTCCTTGAGTATTGTCTTGATCACTTTCACAAATGTCCAAATAGAGTGAAATGAACTTAAATTTGTAGTAAGACATTACCTATACATTCAAAACAGAATATTGCTTTCAGGTTCCGGTACAGCATGAGGAAAATCCAAAAGAACACAGTTCTAGGTTGTAATGTTTTATCTCCCTCACGAATGCCAGCATAAACGGATGTTCATCAACTGAAATACAAAGTCAGGATTAACCACCCAGTTCCCGCCCCACTGTTTAAATAGTTCCCTAGCCCCGCCCAGCCACCCACGTGCACATCCCACCCTTTCCTTTAAGAAGCCGGGTCATGCGACATTAAGCAGGGAAGCCAGCAGAGTCCAAGTGCCAGCCACACTTAGCAAGCATGCGCGTAGGCGTCCACCCCCATTTCATCTGTGTGGCTGCCTCACAGCTGTTTGGCGACGATGTCAGCAGCAGCAACAGATTGGGTGGGTTTTGCTTGTCCTCGTCCATCCAGCCAGCAGTCTGGTGTGGGCCCAGTGGTCCGCTGGGTGTAGTCTGCAGTGGGCATGTCACTCCCGGGTTCCTGTGGGAAAGGCAGTCCCGGTTTCTCCGTTCCCCTCTGGAATGGCAGCCCTGGGCTACCAGGCATACCAGGGCTGACAATTGCTTTTTAAAAATTGTCCCTACCCTCCAGTTGTGAGAACTGAGAAATCAGAACTTAGTACAATTATTAAGAGTAAAGGTCCATCTGTTTTTGAAGCACTTTTAATCTTTTAGGGAGCCCATTAGAATGTATTTCAGTTGGTTCAAGTTTTACATATGTCAGTCTTGGTTCAGCATAGTTTGGATTTATTATAAGATGAACATAGGGGGATGTACTTGGGGAATCTCTTGAAATTCTCACTAATCTTACTTCTTGCTTTTTCTCTCTCTCTTTCTCATTTTTTCTTGCAGTTCCTGGGCGTAGCATTTCTTGGAATTGGACTTTGGGCATGGAATGAAAAAGTAAGCTAACAACAGAAATCTGTACAGCTAAATAAATTCAAATATGTCTCCCAATATTTGAAAAAAAGATTTCCTTCTTTAAAAGGTGCCTTGTTAAGCATATCCTTCATTTAACAAAATTTGCTGCAAGTAGTCCTCAATTTATTACAGTGATTGAGCCTGCAATTAGAGTTGTTGGTCATGATATGGTCATTAAGTGGGTCTTCACATGACCATACCCTATTTTATGATTTATTTGTTGGTGGCAGTTGTTGATGTGGCCATTTTTTTTGGCCAGAAACCAGAAGGAAACACTGGTTTCTGGCAAAAATGTTGTAAATTGCAGTCATCAGACCATGGTTGCAAATGGCGTAAATGTAAGCAAGTTGCCTAGTATTCAAAATGTGGACATATGACGGGGGTGGGTGGCCATCAGAACTTTGAATTCTGGTTTTAAGTATTTTTCCAGGGGGAGGGTCCATTGTAACTTCAACTGGTTACTAAGCAACCAGTTGACATATCCTTGCAGTAGGGAAAGGGCACCTAAAATTTTAGAAGACGCATGTAGAGTGCCACCTTTAATAGACTCCCAGGCTTACTCAAATTGTATCCCCACTTTATTTTTTAATTATATTTCTTTATTACTGTAAATCCTTTTAGATTCCTGGTGGTTTACAGCAATGAAAAACAGACTTAATAGAATTAAGTGACTTTGGCCTAGCCATTCTCTCAGTCCACAGAATAACTGTTGAGGAATAAAATGGGAGGGGAAAGCGTTATGTATAGTGGCTTCAACTCCTGTAGGAAAGGTAGGATATACATCTAATAAAAATAAATAAATCTAACAAATAAATTATGTAAAATAATAGTGTGTTCTAAGCAAATCAGTAATAAAAATAAATAACATTATAAATATACTGTACAAAATGAAAGATGCCAAGGATTCAGTTCTAGAAAACCACAATTGGCTGTTCCATAAAATAAGTAAATCACAGGAAAAATATGGTTTTCTGGCTTCAGCCCTCATCATGTCAGAAAAATGGGGGGTCACCTGTGGCTTAATCCAAGAGATTTGCCTTGGACAGGTTGACTCAGGCTCAAGGAGCCAGTCCTGTTGATAGCATACTTTTAAAATCAAAACTGGCACCTTGAATTGCTTCCAGAAATATGTTGTGCAATATACTTTTAAGTGTTAATATAGATGAAAGAACTGGTTAAAATAGACAGAGTCTTGGAGTGATTCTGCCCTGTTTGAGAAAACAGGGAGTGTCTTCAAAACAATGGTTGTTATGACTTGTTTTTCTACTGTTAACAAAATGCCATGTATTTATCTTTACACTTATTTTGACAGTTTTCAGACTTAGGTAATTAAAACCTGGCTGCCTTTTTTCTGTAAATGAGATGACAGTCTTAGATTTAAATGAGAAAATGAAGTTTGAAAGAGACATATTAAAGAATGGGAAGAGCCTAGTTGTGTCCTAAGAAATTAAGAATTGCAGGGAGCTGTTAGAATTATATGTATCATTAAAATCCCTCTCTTGCAATTTGGAAGAGTTCCGTTCAGGAATTATTTATTATGTAATTAATTGTTTATATATGTTAGCTTGCATTAGGTTTGAAAGATTGCTTGGTTTAAATTTAGAGGGAGATAGGGCTGTTTATCAGATATTGCATATCCTGGTTCTCTTCTGGTGTGTGTAGTGTAATAATGAGAGAGAGAAAAATATTCCTTCTTTCATGTTATGGAAGTCTGTTTTGAAAGGATACACTTTTATTTTTCAGTATTTCAGAAGATTAATATTTTACTGAGATTTAGTAATGTGTATGGACATACTTGGATGTAATTAGCAGATAAAAGGGCAGACTGAACATCTAAAAATTAGCCTTGCTGCACCATTCTTAGTTTCTCTCCTCCATTATTGCTTTTCTAACCTTTCAACAAACCATTTGGGCAGAATGTCATTTGTGCTAAATGACACGTCGTGACTTTTTCACAAAGGATATGGCTGTGGGCCTGATTGCATTGGTAGACTAATAAATGTCAACACAGAAATAATTCACAGGAAATAATCAGAATGTTTGTACAGAATGTTATTAATCTCTCCTTGGACACAAATGCCAAATGCTAGTGTGGCTCCTTCATACTTTCCTTGAAAGGGAAGGGGGAGTGACAGTAAAAACCCGGATACATCTGTGATATATTTTTATTCCTTGTTTTCCCATTCTCTCACCTCTTCTTCCCTTTACATTCACTGCCAAAGGGAGTGCTGTCCAACATCTCTTCCATTACTGACCTGGGTGGATTTGATCCAGTTTGGCTCTTCCTTGTGGTTGGAGGAGTGATGTTCATACTGGGCTTTGCAGGATGCATCGGTGCTCTGCGGGAGAATACTTTTCTTCTCAAGTTTGTAAGTAACTACCAAATTCCTTCTTAAAGAATAAGCATTTTTCCCTGTACAAATATGTATCATTTTAGCTCTTTTAAAAATTTACTTCAAGCTTTTTTGGAGATGCTTGTCTTTAAAAAAAAACCACACCTTAAAGTCCAGTTCAGGTGTTCAACTTAAATGGGAAGTTTAAACATAAGTAAAATAATGGGTGATCTTGTCTCACTAGCTTAATGCTGAGTGGAATTTCTAATAAATTCTTCTTTAAATGGAACCACTGATAATTCTTTCTTTAACCCTTATTATTTAACTTTCATTTCAAGTAATATATTGTTATAAGAAGTGACATACAAACAACCATGAATAAATAAATATTGTGACACGCTGAGGCACTGAGAAGATAGAACCTTTACCTATATTTCCAATTAATTTATGTGTGTTCTGTTCATACTTTTGTGTTTACAATCTTGAGTCTTGGAATGTTTCAGCATCCATTCTGAGATGTAAATATTTATTTTAGTCATTGGTGGCCTCCTTTGACAATTACAGGAAGTATAAATTTGATAGATAACTTAAAAAGCAATAACAACTTATCGGCAGCAGAAAGGTCTCAGTCTGGCTCATATCAACCAGTTGGTCAAACAATTAGGTGGATTGGTTAGTTTTCTGTCATTCATTTGTCGCAGGACATTAGCAGTCCATTTTCCTGCTAATCATGTTGTCATTTGAAAAGCATGTCTGGTTCCCTGCAATATCAAAGGCTGCAGTTGATCACTGTTAAGAATGATAGTTACCTAACAGTTGGGTTGGCAATATATAAACCAGGATAGTTATTTAATACTGTTGTATCTTTAAGAGAGTACTGTAATTGTGACTGGCTGAGGTTCCTCCGACGGCCATAAGATGGAGCCAGAAACCTGGTTTGTTCTCTTCTTACATTTCCCTATTGCTGTATTGCCTGATCGTTGTTCTGCTCGGATTGCTATGAGTTTTGCAAACTGTTAGCAAACTCCGTTTACTGAACTTTGTTTATGATACTGGACTTCGTTTTTGGATTATCCCTGGACTGATTGTATTGAATACTACCTGCTTTAACCGTGTATGATTTGGACTGTTTGTTGGACTTTGTTTACCCATTTACAGGAAGTAAAACCTACATTTTACTATTCAGTGTATCTGTATGCTGGTTGTGTGTTATTCCTCACCAATCTCACTACGTTTCCCTGAGTACACCCATTCTCCTGACGGGAAATACCTCAACAGCCACTCATGGCTGTTCTGGGAATTAGAGTCCACAAGTCTTAAAGTGGCCAAGGTTGGAGACCCCTGGTTTAGATGAATATATTGCTGCAAAACAGGCTTATTGGTCATTGGTTGCTTGAAAACTTGGATATTCCAAAGGGAATTAGACAGTGGTGGTATGCTACTGGTTTGGCCCGGTTTGGCCGAACGGGTTGTAAAAAAAAAAAAAAGCTTCCCACGATCAGCTGAGAAGAGGATTAGCTGAGAGGAGAAAGAAGAGAAAAGCGCAGGATCGGCCCTTCCACACGCCCCTGCGCTTTTCTCTCCTTTATCCTCTCAGCTGATTGGCACTGCAGGCCTCAGCTGGTGTGGGGAAAGCTGCACGCGTGCATTAGACGTGCACGCATTAGGTGCAAGTCCACACACTCACTGAACAGGTGATCACTGAACAGGTAGTGGAACAGTTAGGATCCCACTGCTGGAATTAAATATGGAACTGTTTGAAAACGTTATCTTTCTGCTATAATACATGAGTAATTCATTATTCCTCTGATATGGTTTTTGCTGTGATTGTTTCAAGAGGCTGGCAAAAACAACAAACCATAGACACACATACTTTAAGCACAACTGAAAGTGTTGTATTTAAAGTATGTGTACGGTTTGTTGTTTTTGCCAGCCTTACGGAGAATAGTGAGCTGTAAAATGAGTAAAAATAGCTATAATGTTATCAGTTTTTATCCATGTGATTCTTTGGTATTGCATTAGTTCTGAAGATTTTATTGAAGCCAATAAATTCTTTTACTTCTTTGCAGTTCTCAGTCTTCCTTGGAATAATCTTCTTCCTGGAACTCACAGCGGGTGTTCTGGCATTTGTTTTCAAAGACTGGATCAAAGACCAGCTGTATTTCTTTATCAACAACAATATCCGAGCATACAGAGATGACATTGATTTGCAAAATCTCATAGACTTTACCCAAGAATATGTAAGAGCTCCTTCTTTCTTTAAGATCTGACTGTGGAACCTACACAGCCTACTAGGTGTGGTGGAATCCTAACAATCCCTAGCATCCATCATTTTTGTTCATTTAGATAGGAATGACTAGGATTGCAATTTTGCAACATCTGGTGGGCCATTTATAATGCTACCCTTAGTTGTTTGGATACTAAGATGAGTGGCATATAAGTTTGATAAATAAAAATATTAATTAATTAAATATATAACCAGTGAACACAGACCTGCCAATTCTGGTATAAGGGAAAATATCCCACTTTGACTGTGACCCTTGCTATACATCTGTAGCCAGTGGCAACATTAACCTTGGTTGATTTCAGAAGGCAAAAAAAGTAATATAGTAGTTGTGTGAAGTATCCTCAGTAAATACAGAGTTGTAGTTTAGAATACAGGCTATGCTTAGAAGAAGGCAATGACCATATTTGTTGCTAAGAAAAGTATCTGAAACTAACTATGAAGCCACTACAAGTCAAGCACAGCTTGACTTACGAAGTTTTCCCCATTGTACTGTAATAATATCACTAATGTAAAAATCATCAGTATTTACTGAGAAATATTTTGCAAATTTCATAGCAAATGGATTTCCCTGGTTTTTCTTATAATTGGGCAACATTTTGAACTATCTTGTGGCCATAGCTTTTGTGTTCAGCTAGAGATAGAAGGTATAAGCCTGTTGCTGAAGCTCTCTGGAAAATAAGCTGAATCGTCCAACATTCAGTAATAAACAATCTGTTTTGGATAAGTGAACTGATATAGCTGTTTTGCTGCTGTGACTGAGTTAATCTTTTTCTCCCTGAAGAAGCTTGAACAAGATGTGCCATTGAATGATGCAGGAGTATGAAGGGATTTCCAGAAAAGTTTGAACAAGCTTTTCTAATATGCACAGCAAAGGTGATTTGAGGGGATCCTGTCTGAATTCTTATTTCAAGCCTATGGCCCGTAAAATCAGCGCCACGTACAAGTTGCATTAAATAACTTGACTCCACATTTTAATTATTCTCTCTAAATTGCACATTGGTAATGTGCGATGTTTTGCCACAAAGGGCAGTAGATTTTCTCTATTTTCCAAAAGATTTGGTTAAGGAAAAGCCCTCATTAAGGGAGGGGAAAAATCCCATCTGTTTGGAGTATTGTAGGAAATGGAGTGTCTTGGGGGCTTTTTGCCATTCCTAGTTGTAGCAGAACGAGTTAAGACTTGAAAACTTTTGCACGCATTTTCAGTACAAAATAAATTCATAGAGTAATTTGGAATGGTAGCTTAGAAGAATAGCCGTGCCTGGCCCGCGTTGCCAAAACTGTATGTCTCTTGTCTTTTCCCCCCTCCTAGTGGCAGTGCTGTGGGGCCTTTGGGGCTGATGACTGGAACCTCAACATTTACTTCAACTGCACAGATTCCAATGCTAGTCGAGAACGATGTGGAGTACCTTTCTCTTGCTGCACTAAAGATCCTGCTGTAAGTCAAAACAGAACAGAAGCCTGAAAGGACCATCAGTCACAATGGGATTGTTCTTACACTGGGCCAGTGCCACCATAAATATATTAGCTTTTAAGGTATCATTAAGATTTTTTGGGGCAGTGCTGTGGCAGACAAACATTCTGGAATGGAGAAGGAAGTGTGGTTTTTATTATGATATCTATTAAAAAGTTAATTTTGAATGCCTAGTTTTCATATTTAAGCCCATGAAAAATGTATCTAGATGGCAAGAATCATTTTTATCTATATATTTGAACTTCTGTATGGGATTCACTTACCGATGGCAACTGGGATTGTTGCAACTACCATCATAAGTTGGCATGGTTATATGAGATCATGCTTTAAAATGGTGATGCTAAGTGACAGAGTTTCTAGTTCCAATTAGGAGTAACTAGGCAAGGTCATGAGTTGGAGTTAGACTTTTTGTTCAGTTAAAGGAGACATTTATTGGAAGTTGTTTCTGTGTCTTTATTTTTAGGAAGATGTCATTAATACTCAGTGTGGTTATGATGCCCGACAAAAACCAGTAAGTTTTCAAAACTTCTTTTTGGAGAGGGAATGGTAAAGAAGTGGTCGAAAAATGTTCAATGTTTTTTATTATTGTTCTTGCAGGAAGTTGATCAACAGATTGTTATTTACACAAAAGGTTGCGTCCCACAGTTTGAAAAATGGCTGCAGGATAACTTAACCATAGTGGCCGGCATATTCATTGGAATTGCATTATTACAGGTGACCTGTTCTTTTGAAAAACTGCAGAGAATAATCCATACTCAAGAAAGACCCCACAGAGTGAAATGAAAATTGAATCTCGGTGTATAGAGTAATTGATTTATTATTTTTTGAAAAAAAGAAAGTGCATTTGGGTCTCATTGATTTCAGTCTTGTAGTAAACTTGGATAATGCAGAATAAATTATGAACATTTTGCTGCAAATTATGATGGAACTGATGCTGCTTGCTTTTCGCTCACTCAAACCTAGTGGGGCTGTTTCTCTAGTAGATTTCCAAAGCAAACTGAAAGACCAGTTAGGTGTAAGCAGTCTCAACTTGGTACCCTATTTTTATTATAGCAATAGGAAAATCTTTTGCTCCAGGTATTTGGAATGTTCTTTAAATCCTGTACTGTTGAAATTTAATCTCCTTTCTTAAAATATAACTTTAAATTTAATTTTAAAAACTTATCACCTACATCTGCATTTTAAAAGCTCCTGTTCCCAGGACAATTCTGATATAGTGTACATCTCTCTCCCATATTAAACATTATTGTCCCTCTCCCTCCAAGTACTTAATACTTCACAGTAAATATGATTGTATTTGTGTAGTACACTCAACTGCAAAGTGGCCAGCTGTACAATATTTGAGGCCAGCATGCTGTGTACACTCAGCCACTATAGTTAATTTGTGGCCCAGTATGTCTGTGTCCCAGAAAACCTGAGTGAAACATGCTTAACAAGGGAAAACCATTTCAACTTTAATGTGTAGATGGTAGCCATCGTGTTAAATTTTGTGGGCGCAGTCTGGCTAACTCTAATTTCTGCATTTGAAAATCAGTTCCAGCTTAACATGTGCATTTTTTTTCTTCCAGATATTTGGCATATGCTTGGCTCAAAATTTGGTTAGTGATATTGAAGCTGTCCGAGCCAGCTGGTAAAACTCTTCAATGTAAGCCACGCAAGACCTTGTGGGTTACCACAGTTCTCAGAAGGCTCCATGTGGTCCACATGGACTCAAAGCTATGTGAAAATGAGGAACAGAGAAGTTTTAAGTTCTCAGCTGATTAGAACAGCATTTTATCTTTGTTGATTTCAGAATGAGCAGCTCCAGCCACTTAGTTGTGATGAATACTATTAAAACAGCCAGTTGAAAATGTACTGAGCCATGAATCTCTACTGTATCCTTGATTGAGTAAACTGGAGGATATTTCTTCCGTGTCTTGTGTGTTGTGTGTGTGTGGCAAGTGGTCTGTGTCAATGGAAAACCTCAATAGATGCATCCTTTTGTTTTCTGTGTTGCAGCAGACCCTCAATGAGGCAATTTCCTTTTGCCATTAAAGAAGTGACCAAGAGACCTAATGTTTCTTTGGGAAGAAATCCCACAAAGAGGCAACTATTTATCTACTTCTCATATGCTTTGTTTTCTGGCAAAAAAGATCATCACTCTTCCACGGGAAATTCAGTATCAGTTCTATTACATCATCTGTCAAATAACAACAGCTTTAATTATTTTCCAACCTCTGGCAATCTTTATTTCATTGGACACTTGGAACTGTGGAATCAGCAAACTTCAGGAAAGACCTAAAATAGAGATAATTCTCCATCTGCATTAGTCGCTAGCAATATGTAAATGAAGAAGAGATGAAGGTATTCATGCTGGGTGGTTTGATGATGAGATTGAGAAATGCGATGAACTTAGAAGCAGAAACACAAGCACAGTGTATTCAGTTTCATGGATAAAATGAATTTTAAAGAAACATCTCTTTGGAAGTTTCTGATGTCTTCATGTAGAAGGGCAAATACTTTTTGTCACATTATAACGCTTTCTAAGTATATCTTCTTATGCCCTCTTCATCGATTTGGTATATACTTTTTAAAATTGCTACTCCTTTTTGATTCGCTCAATTTGAGTGGGCTTCCAATTCAAACAAATGTGAATGAAATGCTGACCAATTTTCATTCTTTGGTTTGTGTTTTGTGCTGGCTTCATTACCACTTAGTTGCCACTGCATTTCCTTTTGTGTCTGGTTAAAGTAGAAACCTAAATGAAATATGTATCTCTTCCTCATTTTTCAAGCAGGAGCAACATTTGTACAGCAATACTGTGCATGCTTGTGTATTTCATTGTGGGTCAGTTTCAGTAAATGTATGATCATCTAGGTTTTTTTGTCTGGGGTGTTCAACCTTGGCAATGTCACAAGTTGTGGACTTCAACTCCCAGAGTTCCTAGCTACCACTGACTGGAATTCTGAGAGTTGAAGTCCACAAGGTTTGTAATTGCCAAGGTTGGTCACCCCTGTTTTAGGTTTTTGTGTACATTAAGTACCAGCGGAAAAAAAAATTATGATGCCTCTGTGAAAAACAAACAGAATTTGGCTATCAAGGATATGAATTTGGGCTTAGTCCCACTCTTTTTTCAGGGTTGGCAGGAGAGATGACAATCCTTTCAAATTTGGCAGTGACTGAAAAATATTGTTAAGTGAAGTAGAACATGGAAAGGATAAATATTTGGGTTCTACTCGTGTGCAATAGCTATTTTAGAAACACTAACTTCCCCAACCTGGTGTCACCAGAAGTGTTAGGGATACAACTCCCAAGAATTCATAGCTAGCATTGATAGGCACCAAGTGGGGGAATGTTGCCCTAATTTGAAAAGGAAAACAAGTAAATGCATTGATGTCTTATTCAACTCTCTTGAGTTTTGTACACAGAGCTAAACGTTCTAACTGCACCTGGTATGACTTCACATAACCTTTTGTCTAGGTAATTGAGTTCTGATCAGGCTCCTTGAATGGGTAACTGAGGTACATTTACACATGCAGAGCTCTGCAAGTTATATTTGTGTCAGTCTCATTCAGTGAATAGATTCTCTTAGTTTTTAATTAGTGAATTGCTTAAGTGAAGGAAACCAGCAATGCAGAATAAAACATACAGTGGATGAAAATTGAATGAATTCTTATGAATCTCTAGTACTTGAATAGCTTAGTTGTAGTACATTCCAGAAACCAAACGTGAAAGATGCTGATGTAAGATGTACTGAATAAACATTCCTTCTTTTTTGCTGCTCTTGTACATTTCTGGAAAATTTCCATGTTTCTGCTTAGGTATAATAATGCTATAGATGTTTAACTTGTTTTCATTTTTCTTTTCCTATTACTTTTTTTCTTCCATTACCAAGCTGTTTTATAACTGACAGATGGTAGACCATAGTGCTAAAGCTTCTTATTAATTAAACAAAGTTATGTGGTTAGGCATATCATTCTATCTTTTGGTAAAAGATGTTGAAATATCTTACTGATTGTACAGCATTAAGAGGTTGTCTTCTTGGTCCCAGTGGTGAATAAGCTTAATAACATTTTTATATATAGAGAAAAATGGCAATCATTTTGTTTGCATACAAAACATGTTTATTTCTTGGAGTCCTGCAGGAAATCAGGAACTCTTATTTTTTTAAAATAGTTCCCTCCTTACTTTGTCTTGGTCGTGTCCCTTGGTGCAAATAGATAATGTAATTTTAATTATCGGGTATGTAGTTGCCTTCTATTTGCCTGTGCATGATTAAAATTCACATATTTCTTCCAGAATCCCACATTTATTTTTAAAACAAGGGTGAGCTTGAAAGAGCTTTCAAATAACTTTCTCATAGCAAATGCTCATTCCAAAAGGTAACGCAAAAAATTGTGGACATAGAAACAAATTATTATGATCTTACCAAAAATGTCCAGAGCTGGAAATGACCCCGTTTCAAGCATGAAACATCCTGTCTAAGCAAATTTCTTTTAGCTTAAAATATTTTGAATTAGAAATGTTTTACACACTTCTAATACCCACAGTTAAACATTAATCTCTGAGATGTTCCATCTGGCAAATAGAATTTAATGAATAATAGGCCCTAACTAATGTAAAGCTACAGTCTTTGTATCATGGAAATTTTACAACTGTAAGGTGAAGTTTCTTGAAGTAATAAAATAGATGCCAATTATATGTCTACAGAGAGTACTGAAATAGTATAGGTAGTCCTCAAGATATGACATTAAGGAATCCTGCCCATTACAGTTGCATGTCTCGATGGTCGTTAGGTGAAACACCTCATCTAATGAACCCCCATCCCTGCTCTCCCTAATGAATTATTAAATGAATGTGTGAGTCGTTAAGTGGAGTGTGGGGTGCCTCCTGGATTTGGAGGCCTAGCACAGGCCTAGGCTCACCTGTTGTGGCCCTCACAAGGCCTCACCCCCAAGATGCCCCACTTCCCGTGGCTTGGGTCCCAACAGGTCTTTTCTCATTCCCACTGAGTCTTCCCAGGCCGAAGGCCTTACCCCCCCCCCCCCCCCCCAAAAAAAAAACAACCCCAGACCAAATATCTTTCTCCTCGCTTACCTTTTGAAGAACTACGAGGCCTTCCAGAGTAGAGATCTCCAATCTTGGCCACTTTAAGACTTGTGGACTTCAACTCCCAGAATTCCTCAGCCAACTTTGCTGGGAGTTGAAGTCCACAAGTCTTAAATTGGCCAAGGTTGGAGACCCTTGTTCCAGAGGACTGAAATGGCTGCCTTCTTTTGCATGGCCATCTGGCACGGTTGTGAAAGCTGTTGACATTTTCTTCCACCCCTCCAAAATGGGAGCCACATTGGGGTCTCCCCTGCAGGTTCCAGGGACAAACTGCTTCTTTTTGCTGCCTTAACAAGGCCTACGCAGTGCTGGATAAGCTTTCTGCTGCATTCAGAAGCTTCTGCGGTGCAGACCTCTTTTAAGGCAGCGAAATGAAGCAATTTGTCTGGCAGCTGCCATTTTGTCCCCACCCACAAATGGACTGAAAGACAAAATGGCAGCCATATTTGGGGCACTACTGCATAGCCCAAAGGCAAACTGTTTTGTTCTTCTGCCTTTAACAGGGTCTGCAGTATGCTGTGGAAGCTTTATAAAGCGTTCAGAAGCTTCCACAGCATTGTGCTGATCTTGTTAAGGCAGCAAAATGAAGCAGTTTGTCTGGGGACGGCTGCCATTTTAACCCCGGCCACAATTTGGATCGCTGCCATGCGGTCGGTTGTGTCTTCCTTTCACAACGTGAGCTCTGGAGTTGTGGGTTATGTAGAGTAGGCCCAAGCACTGCAGGGTGGGATGGGAGGAGAGAGAGATGGAAGGGTGCTGCAGGGCCCCTTTGGTGGATCATTCAAGGTGAATTATTGCAGGGCTGCTATTACCACTATTACATTTGTGTTGGGAACATCAAAGCACAGGGCTGCTGCAATCCTTGTAACTTTGACATGGGGTCATGTGTAGCCTTTTGGAGGGGGGGCGTGCTGTGGTAACTTTGAACATTTATTTAAATGAACGTTCTTTTAATTGGGCTCAGCAATTGGATCTTTACTGTATTTTATTTATGTCTTTTAAATTTTGTATAGTTTTTTTTTTTAAGATTGTAAGCCGCCCAAAGCTAAGATGGGGTGGCCAATAAAATTTACAAATGGACAGATGTGGCCTGTTGTACCTTGAGGACTACCTGTATTTTGTAGCTTTCTTTGCAAATTCATATTAAATGTCAAAAAGGAAAAAGCAGCACACATAATAAGCATGTTTGCTAGAAGGAATTTGCTGACCAAGCCCCACAGTAAAAGTTGGTATATTGGTAAATTTGGGTTATAGTCTGATTTCTTAATTCAAATAAACTGGTCTCAGAAAGGACACAGTATAAAATAGTGAGTGATGGGGAAATCAACAAACTGGAATAAGGGCAACAACATTTAGGGCCATTAAGCCAGGTGTATGCAACCTTGGTAACGTTAAAAGACTTGTGGCCTTCAATTCCCAGAATTTCCCAGCCAGCCTGGGATCTTAAAGTTGCCAAAGTTGGACACCCCTGCACTAAATACAGTAGATGTACCCTATTCATGTTTTCAGGTGCCCCTTTTCCTCTCTGAAGGGATGAAGGGTTTTTTTTTTTTTTAATCAAAGGACAGCAGAGTTTTCAGATGCTTATTAGAGTGGGGGGGAAGGAATTTAGAGGAATTTCCAGCAAGCCAACCATCCAAATATTTGGGAACAAAAAATGCTTCAAGGCAGCAACTCTCCAGACTGAGTTTAGCAAGTTTTGGTATGTGTCAGTTTGGATGTAAATGCTTAATGTTGAATATTAATGCTCAAATGTTAAGCAGTTAAAAGTTTGTAGCTGTTGTTTGTGTCTTTTCTTTCCACATTTTTAGAATTGTACTAAATAGTACTGTTGTTATTGACAAGAAGAAGAGTCAAAAGAACCCTCCAAATGATACCAGTACACGTCAAGGAAGTTTGTGCTTCGTGCTTGCCTAACAAATTGCACATGTTATAGATTATGTTTTAAAGAATTTGTGCATCAGAGTGTTTGCTTGCTGCTAGATCTCCCTACCATCATGACATTTGTATAGTAGTGGCTTAGTCCTATATGGGAACAACGGCTTTGTTAGAAAATTTTGTAAATCTTTTTTTGTGAAAGATGTTGACTATTTTGTTTTTTTATTATTGGTCTAAGGTTTTGCTAAAGAAACGGCCGTGTCTAGAAACCGTCTTGTGTTGCCAAATCCAACTTGGTTGAATGAAATGTTCTAACTCCTGTTTTATGTCTTCTGCTCTGAATCTCTGGAAATCCATTTGCTTTGTTTGTCATCATCTTCGAGCCAATTCCTGTTTCTATTAGATAGTCGTTATATAGTGGTGTGTACATCTCAGAAATGTAAATAATAGCATGTCTGTGGTATCATTCCTGCACAGGTTTACACATATTAATATGTATTTATTTTGAGAACATGGAAAAATCCCAACCATAAAAAAAAAAGTTTTGCATATCTATTGGTTGAAACCTAAACTGCTTTAATATGCTGCCATCTAGTGTTTGCTGGGCCCTTCTGCAATTTAATAAATTAAGAATTTTTAAATTTTTGTTAACTTTAATTCAGTAGTTTTGAATATTTACATGTTAGAATATTTTTTGCAATGAATATAACTGTAAACTGGTACAAATGCAGTGGTTTCTGTTCTTAATTGGTAAAAAAAATCTATTGGTTACTGTTATGAAAAAGGACATGTGAATGAAGATATTCAGAGTATGGTATATCGTCTCTTAAATTGCTTGCTTAGTGATGCACTTGAGAACATTTATTGGATGGCTCAGTAAGCCTGCTGTTTTTGTTCTGAACTGACTACATATCCAGTATCCTGTTCCCATACTTTAATTTTTCTTAAATTATGGCTGCTTTCCTGAGAAATATAAAATGACAGTTTACCACAGTTGTGTTTTTACTCTCTTTCTGCCCTTTCAGTAATCTTGTTCAGCAGAGAGATATTCAGCTTTCAAACAGTGGGGACCTAAAATTTTATATCTGTCTAGCCATGGGCTCATCTTGAGTCACATGAGATTTTGCTGGAGTGGCTGTGTTATGTGCCTTTTATATTTCCCATTGTGATAGTTCTGTAAGACCACAAAAGTTTTGCTAGCGAGTTTCTCAAGTCTTATGTTGTGGATTCAGATTTCTCTTGATGATATGCTATTTCAGTTTCTTCAGTGGTTCAGTGTCAACTATTGATCTTTTTAGGCACATTATAGCTCTCCCTCAGTCTTTTATGGTAAAGTGTCAGTAGAGTACATTTTTGGTGTTTTCATGTTCCTGCCTTTAGTTATTTTGGCAGATAACTCTTGTGTGTCCATTTTATGACTGAGAAAGCAACAGGAAAGGCAACTTGTTTGATTCATGGAGACAGGTAGAAAATATCACACCATCTTTTCAAACCCAGGGCAGATGTAGTTTAAGGCAGACTCACCCTTTTCCACAATCCTGCCCGTATTTTTCCTCTGCAGCCCACTTCAATACCAATGGATTTTTTTGATGAACTGACTAAACAGAAATTGTTATTTCTTCATTTTCATTTGGAAGACTAATTCCTGAATTTGACACAGTCTAAAGGAAGAATGAGGTGTTATACCTGAAGGATTGGGAAACTGCCCATTTAATATATTTATTCCCAATGGGGTTAGATGATATATGAACATCGATGGCTGGACTGTAGACTTGAGGTTCTGTCTCCTGAACATTACAGGAAAATTGTAGGCTCTCTACAGAAATTTAATCCAGGTAGAAGATGCTGTTCCTGTGCTCTTTTTTCAACAATGTAAGGTTACATCATGGATGAAAACACATGGAATTTTCAGTATGTATATGCTGGTGCTGCCCTTAAGTCTTGTATAACTGCTTTCTTGTTTTGTGCCTATATCATAGAAAGAGTACACATACCCTTAAGTATTGTACGGGATATCCCACACTTACCTTGTTGGAATGGGATTGTTTGTGTAGCTTATTAATACAGTGATCGAGCAAGAAATGCAGAAAGGCCTACCTAGGGAACATAATTTAAATCTCAGAATTGGTCTTATGAAATCACTTTAGATAAACATATAAAACAGCCTTCCCCAGCAAGTTGCCTTGCTCTTTAAACTCCCAGAATTCCTTTCCATCATTCCCAGAGGAAGCCTGATTAGAAATTTAATTCAGCATGTAACTGATCATAAAAGTCAGAACTGCAGTGCCTAGCAGACGTCTTACCTGGAACATGCATTTCTGTTTATTTTCAGAAGACTGGGGATGGGGTTTTCTAACAAGTCACGTTTAGATATACTGTATTAACTTCCAACCTTTTATTCTAAACCATTGCATGACATAATGAAGGCAATGACTGTAGTTACCATTGTGGTTCCCCTACCCTTTTTACTGTATTTGAATGTACTTTACCTGTGTGGAAAGTCTTGTACATTGCTGAATTGATTGTAAATGCCAATTACACTTACTGATAATGGAAAGTATTGTTACAAGGAAAGTGCATGCCTGTACAGCTTGACTGAGATTTTGTCATCTCACTCCCACATGCTCTTATTTGATCTCAAAGTGGATATATTTTACCTAATTTATCATTTCTTTACACTAGAATATGTTATACAGTAGCCATGCAGCTTTCAGTGGACAAAATTGAACTTTTACATGAAATTAACACAACTATTTTGTGTTAAACAACTAGTTTTTAAAAACAACTAGTTTTTAAGGTATTGAAAGTGAGATACATCATGCTCTTTCTTTTTTTTTTAATAGAAGCAAATTTTCAGAATGTTTTAATACATTTATGAACATAGTTTTACTAGTTGTGCAGTATTCTGTATTTTACTTGAAATAAATCATTTTATATGCAATTTGTTAGTATGATTAGTTTTACAAATAAAATGGAGTGACACTTTGGCTCTGTTCCTTGTTCTCACATATATAAAAGTTTCACTTAAACATTTCACTGGGTGTGTGGGGAAAATAAACATATGAAGATGAAATGTGATAAAATACTGCATTTGTGACTAATGAATCTCTTGATGGGTATGCTCCTTTGTGTCATAATAGCTCCTTGTAAAAAAAGTCACATAATTTCGATCTAAGAATCTTTTTCATTTGCAATAAATACAAATATATTCAATTAGATCTTTGGATCAGAACTCCCAGAAATTTTGGTTGGTTCCCTTTGTTGGCTGAGACCGACCAGAATTGAAGTTCAAAACGTTTAGCAGATGCCAGATCTCCTGCTTGTTGAGGTACTGAATGTATAAATAGGCAAAAGAAAATATAGTGCAGTATAACCTCCATAGTTGACCACCTCCCTAAGTTGATCTAATTTTCATAGACTAGACATACGCTATATGTACAAAATAGAAAGCCAACCTCTCTGTATGGACCACCTCTGTAAGTTGTATTTTTACCACCTGGACCTTTACAGACAGAATTTACTCTATATAACTTGACCAGGTGTGTCCAGTCTGCACAAGGGCAAGAAAGTGAAATGCAGAATTGGTAGCAATGAATTTCTTTCAAGAAGAATATCAAAGAATACAATATTTTTGACACTGATTTGGCAGTAAAGAAGACAACATCTTTTAACGCTGACAGGTGTGGACTCTTTCAAGGTGATGCCTGACAGGAGCCTCATGAGGAATGACAAATGTAAGAATGGAAAGCTTTCTAAAGGTTTCACAGTTCTTCTGTATGCTGGCTTAACCAGAGAGAAGCAGTGATTAGTAAATTGGCAAAGCCACGCTCATTCAAAAACCTGCAGTCCAAAGACGGTACCGTCACCTGGAAATCTAACAAATCTGCATGGATAACTGGTGCTCTATTTGAGGAATGGATAAGAGCTACTGACTGAGAAATGAAGAAATGTTACATTCTCCTTGTATTGGTTTCCAATTTTTTTTTAAAGAGCTGTAACCATCAGAGGAGAACGCTGTAATTCCCCTTAGTCAAGTCTTTGGTGACCAATTGTTCATGATTAATTTTCCCATGTTCTTTTGTTGTACTTGTGTTTTGGTCTGTGACCGCAAATAAAGTATTATTACTTCTGTACATTCTCCTTGTAGTGGACAATTGTCATAGCCATCCCAGGTGAATCATCTTACAAATGTGAAACTGAAATTTTTGCCTTCAAACACTGTTATCAAAAATTCAACCTCTCGACCAAGGCATAATAATAACTTTAAAATGCAGTGCCGAGCCCAGCTTCTGCAGTGAGTCATTGCTAAAATGCAAACCTATGGTCATCTGCAGAAGCAAAATCCTAACCTTAACTCTGGCCTGAACCTAACCCTGACCCAGAAGCAATTTTCCAATCAATATTGACCAAGGTACAGCCCGAAGGAAAAGTGCTGGAAGCAACTGATGAAGCAGAAGAATTAAGTGAGGAAACAGAAATTGCAGATATTCCAAAAGAAGAGGATGTCAGTCATTTGATAATGCAGTTAAAAGTTATTTGCCGTAGAAAAATGCCCAAGTATGCTGAGTGGTACAGCCAGCATTGAGTGCTTCCTCTGCTTGCCTTCATAACAAGAATAAAGAATAGTCTGAAACTTCAGTCGTTTTTTTTAGAAAGAATGATTAAACCATGAGAAAACAATACATACATAAATGTATTGATTTTGTATGATACAGTATTGTATGAATGATTTTCCTGTGTTTTTGCTGTATGTGTTTCTATATGTCATTCTCTAATAAGCTGACAAAATGAGCCAGGCGTACATATCAGTATCATTGTTCTGTATATTGACCACTTCCACTTTCCTACAGTCCCTTGGGTGGTCAACTTTCAGAGTTTTTACTGTATATGTCTGTTGAAAACTTGTAAACCAGATAAATTGAAGAATTGAGTTCCTTGGTGCAGAATTAAGGCCGCTTAGGAAAATATAATTGTTCCTCATTCTTCCATAAATCCCTAATGTTTTACAAGCATTTCAGAATAGAACACCTGGTCAGGTTTCAGATTTTGAAATTCTGAATGAATAGTTTTATAGTTTCTCTGTCAAATCGAACAGATTGAGGAGAAGTAAGTTAGTGGAAGTAGCCCCATCATTTTATATAGGATTGAAAAAAAGCTCTTGCATAGGTTAAAAATAGCAATTAAGGATACTTAGATAAAACCTTCTGACTTTGCATGCCTCCTTGTTGCAGGATCTGGGATAAATATGTTTTAAATTACTGCTCTGCCTCTTAATCTCAGTTTTAGTTTAATTCAGCATGTTCATACTAACAAATATTCTAAACAGCTACACATACTACTGACTCAATCCTTGTTCCCTCTTGTAGCTGACTTTCTAACCAAAATGTCAGGATTATTATATCATTTGAGGCTTGCAAAATCCAGCATGTGAAATCAATCTTGTATACTTTAAGAGCACTTGGACAAAAATGCTTTGATTAGAAAATATTACTAACTTCTCACCAAGTGAAAGCAAAGATGGGGACAATAGGTCTAGAATTTTTGTGACTTAAAGCTTCTTTTAAAGATACTTTAACCCCAACCTAAGGTTGCTGCAGCACTCAAGCCAAGTAGCTATTGGTTAACTTAGACCAAAGTGAATTAAAACAACAGGCAACTGGGAGACTTCATCCTCATTGCAAAAGTGTGCAAACAATCCCCAGTGCTCTGCATTATGTAGAACAAGAGTAAAACGGGCAAGGTGTGGGACAAAAAGAAAATTGAGGTTTTAGGAGGAGAATGGTGTATTTTCTCTTATTTGTTCAGATTCTGGTGCTATCAGCATCGGACCAAAAAAGAATAGTAGGCAAAAGTACTTATGATTTAGGATGCATGCACTCTACTGGTATAGCTTATCACAACATACAGCTAGTTTTAGAAGGCTCCACGAAAATAAACCAGGATAGAAAAGACAGAACACAGGGAAATGTGTGAGAGCACTGGATTTTATTGGTTTTATCTCTAGGTACCACAGGATTGACATATTAGTAGGTAAGACCAGTGGATGAGCAGCAAGATTTCTTTTCCTCTTCCCTCTTTCGTATCTAAAGCAGCAAAAAGAGAGGTGTGCCCCCAAACCTCATCTCAACAGTCTTGCTGCCTCTACTGAGGAAAGCAGGGAGTCTGAGGGGAGGTGTCATTACGGTTGTACCACTTTTACATTATTATAGGACTATAACATGCACATTCTAGTATGTGGCCCAAGCAACAAGAATACAGGGAGAACGACAACAAGGCTGCAGATTGCATGTATGTATCTGCTGTGGATAAGAAAGACAGGATCCTATGACAACTGGCTATGAGTGTTTTAGAAATCTTATTTAGAGAGAGGTACCTACAACAGTGCAGTGTGGGGATGCTACATGCATGCATTAGTGACAGTGGAAAAACATGTTAACAGCAGCAGGATAGGACAAGAGGTGAGATCAGTGACATGATGCTAATGTGGATCCGGTGCCCCCTTCCTCAGCTTTCCACAGCAAGTCTCTGCTCTGTTAGGGAAGCCTGCTGGGCCACCGTTTTGTTCTCGTGGCTGCGGAGTTTTGATACGACTTCTAGGAAAGCCAGGCTTTGCACTTCCTTGTGAAGAGGTTCTGTCAAACAAGAGGTAAGACTGTTACTTCCCTGCTGGGCCTTTCTGGAAACAGCTGCTCTTTTGTCTGCATTTTCTACGAAGCTGAAATGAATGCAGACATTATCAAGCCACCGCTTGGCTGGGAGGAAAACAGGAGGGAGCAAAAAAAAAAAGTGGCATCTTTCAAGCAGCTCAATGCAAAGTGCTCTTTCCAATTCCTTAAATTGCATAAAGACAGGTGAGTAAACATTCGGCCTGTATAAAGTACAAAGGAACAAAAGAAAAGAAGTGCTTCCATTCCAGACGCCTACTAAGAAATGTACACAAGCTTGTGTTGTAGAAGCTACTGCTGGAAGAGAGAAAAACCAAACCATTTTTAAAAAAATCTTTCTTTGGCCTGAATCAGTGTCTTCCAGAGCTGGTATCTTCTTGATGTGTGGGCTTCAATTTTCCAAATCAGTCTTGCCTGTACCAGATAGAGCAGGTGTTTGGAGATGCTGTTTTGGGAAAAATGTAGCTCGTGTTGAGCTAAGCTCAGCTTCATTTAGCCAGAGACCAATTTCCATTTGAAGGCTATGTTTGTATGACAGGCTAGGATAAAAGCTCAGCTGATGCCACATTTTCTTCATCAGGCATCTTAATGGTTTGGAACTTACTAAAGTTAAAATAGCCCATCATGTGGGATTTCCAGAAATTGGGACGAAGCTTAATTTGAACAAATGGTGTATTTCGGAAACAGAAAATCCATCAGATTGTTTGGCACAGTAAGTTGAAAGCTCAATTAAAGAACTGCAATCAGCAGAGAATCAAATGGCACAGTGCACAAGCACCTTTACACTGTGTATATAGCGTGTTTTGCAAATGCAGCTTTTTATTAGGCGCAGTTGAAAACTTTCAAAATTACAAACAGGTCAACTTGCCTTCCCACATTACTGCTTATGTTGCTGAAGAACATATTCTTGGAGTGGGGAGGGGAGGGGAGGACTCTGGCGTCTGGATTAATGCTCAAAACCAGGACAATCCCAATCAAGCCAAGGCCTAAGATACTTGTGTACTTTAGGATTTACATATACTGGTACTTTTGAAAGTTAAAACTACATGCCAACCACAAAGTAGCGCCTGACCAACCCTGACTGATCTGAAAAGCCTAGTAAAGTTACACCTTAGATGGAAAGCCAACAGAAAATCCCAGGTGTGTAAATTTAGGCTGCCCAAATTATTTCCAGGAAGACAATATAGCTATAGGTAGAGTTTTCACTTTGAAGTACTGGACTGGATTACACCTTTCTATAATTCTTGCTTCCCCTTTTGGCTCTTGTTTTCCTGCCAATCTTCATATTCACCTTTTTTCCAATCAGTTTCCATATACTAA